TCAAAGGCATCAATTCTTCGGCGCTCGGCCTTTTTTATGGTCCAGCTCTCACAGCCATACATTACTACTGGACTCAGAGACAATAGGTAACCTAATTTTGACAGTGTCCTCTTAGCACATGGAAAACATAGAAGAGACTGGGGATTAAGCATCATTGCTTAAGATACAGATACAGAGAGAAAAAAAATTTGCTTTCCTACGCAATAGTTGGAGCCTTAGGGATGGTCCTTAATTGCTTACATTTCAGAAAGTGTCCTTACCAGGAAGGGACATTAAAGGCATACAGTGTGGGTAACATCATTAAAGCAGAATCCAGCACTGGGGACTCTGCAACACCCCCCAAAAAAACAGGATGTTGCTTCTTTTCCTGTCTAGGTTTCTCGTATAGAGCTCTTGAAACAAACACAGTGGAAGTTTAGTGACCAAGAGGGCTGTGGTACTTATTTCCTTCTATTCTCCAGCTTCCTCAAACGATCAGAAGGGTCAAAGCAAAGATCAACCCAGTAGTTCCTTATTAGTTGAGACACCTTGGTTTTTAAACTGCATGAAATTGGCAAGGAAGAATCACTGAATGCTTCCATTATGACAGGATTTTCAATAATAAGGATCAATTCTTTCCCTGACCAAAGCTCTTTCATCTATTAATTGGTTAAGGCTGCAAGGGTATTTGCCTGAGGAACAGTTTAAAAGCATGTTATTGTATAGGAAAGATTCAACAAATAGTTTTAAACGAGATTGTCTTTCATGATATGTAGGTAAAGAGCCAATCATAGGAAATGCTTCATATTTTAAATTTTTGCAGGCTGGTCCTTAAAGAACCAAATAGCAACATTCAGTGGCATTCTGATTAGAAAGGACATGGACCACTTTCCTTACATTCATAGTTTAAGCATTCCTTGAGAAGAGTAGCTCTTTTAAATCTACATGTGAGTCATCATTTTTCTACAGGTAGTCCTCGACTTACGACTATTTGTTTAGTGACCAAGGTTACAACAGCACTGAAAAAAGTGACTTATGACCAGTCCTCACACTTAAGATTGTCACAGTGTGCCCACGGTCATGTGATCAAAATTTGAGCACTCGGCAACGGGTATGTATTTATGATGGTTGCAGCATCCTGGGGTCATGTGATTGCCATTTGCGACCTTCCCATCTGGGTTCTGACAAGCAAAATCAATGAGGAACTGCATGATTCATTTAATGACCATGTAATTTGCTTAATGACCGCTGCAAAAAAGTTGTAAAATCGGGTGTGGTCACATGACGCCTCACTTAACAACCACACCCCTTTATGACAAATTTTCTGGTCCCTATTGTGGTTGTAAGTCAAGGACTACCTGTACGTGGAATCTAAATTGGATTTTGGCAGCTCTAACCTGCTTCCTTTGAGCGCATGGCCTGATATAGTATGCTGACTTCTTTTCTTAAAGACATGAACTCAACTGGAAGTTTGCCAGTTTTACAATTTTCCTCAACTTTACATTTTTCATTCAAAATTGTGTGAGAAGGGAAATAGGGATTGTTCCATCTTTCCAGCAGGCTCTGAATTAACTCACTGGAATCCTCAGATATGGAGGAGAAATCCAAGAATTCAGATATAAGAGAATCTGTTTCAAGAAAAACGGCTTCTTTGAAAGGATAGAGTAAAAACATAGCTAGAAATATTGGGTAAGATTATTATTTTAACTGTATGTTTAGGTTTAATATGTTGTCTCTGTACTAATTTTTTTTATCAATTGGAATCTCTTTACAATGCCACGGCATTATATTTCGCTGTCTACGTTTTGAACAAGGTGAGGTGACCCCCTGAAGATAGGTGGTAGCAGCAATAACTATAAAGCTTCTACACCAAGGGAGGTGTGTAGACCCACAGGTTTTTGGGAGAGTGGGGTTTGAGACCTCCAGGCTCAGCCATGCTATTACAATTGTTCAGTGGCTCTTTCTCTTCCTTCATTTTGGTCAGGTATTTTATATCCTCCTAGAAGCAGGGACATTGGTTGGATGAGTTCAGAATATTGAGTTTTACTTGGATAGAACAGTGACTTCTTAGGGGACTGTGCACTGGTACCATGGAATATTTATTATTTTGAGATTGATTGAGGGTTGTCACAGCTTAATCTAGTAGGCCAACAATTATGGCAGCTTTTAAAGTCTAGTTTCTAGGATGAGCTATATAGGGTAACCACACTTTCCCAAACTTTACAAGCAGGATAAATATACCCTTTGCAAATGGTAACAAAGCAGACAACAATAATTTAAAGAATTCTAGGAAGCTCACCCTCTGATATGGTTGCTCTGTTACATCCTGAAGTGACAGATACCCTCTGCAAAGCTCAGAAGAAAGCGGAAACTTACTTACCATGAATTCCTGTTATCTGACCTTTAGATGGAAGCAGGTAGCTGGGTCTCCCAAAAATAGTTTATTTTTCCGTAAATGTTATCCTGTTGATTCAAAAGATACTATTTTAATTATTTAGTTTGTGACTTCTAAATTTCCAGTAGTTAGATCTTAGTTTTATAAAACTATCCATTCAGGAAAGATGTCATCATGTAGGGGTTGAGGAGCTCTCTTGCTCTTCCACTTCACCTGGAGTATAAAAATGAGAAGTTGGATCTCACTTCAGAAGGAAACGCTCTCTTGAAGTGACAAAGGCCTTCTGTAATGGTTATAGAACAGGAATACACTGTTAGAATATCTTTGTTGTTCTTTGCCCTTAGACAGCTCTGTCAATACCGTATGTCTGTCTATTATGATGGTCATTTTTATCAAAGTAGAACAATTCTAAGACAGACTGATAAGTTGGTCACTGATTGAAA